TACGCTAATTGCCCTCTGCAATTTGTGCATCAGTCCATGGTTGAAAAAAATAAGTGGTCGTAATGGTGTAATTGCAATTGGCAACTGTAACTTGCGTCATTCCGGGGTAGAAAATTAATAGTCATCCAGTGTGGGCACTTAGTAGTTACTGTTTACGTTAATCCGTGGTGATGGGCTATCGGGTCTTCCATCTTTCTTTGAGATGTTTATACACATCACCCAACTCCATATGTCGTTTGAGGCACGAACCATCAGAGTGCATGACCTCATGAAATTTTCGGCCATTTTGGTGGGACAAACTCAGACGATGCGCGTTTTTTTTCCATGCAAGGTTGTATCCTATATCAAGGCAATGCATATCCACTTCGGACAAACGGTCACGTCTCTCCACTGCCAGTTGGTGCTCATGGATGCGTGTAGAGACGGATTTTCCCGTTTGGCCAAAATATACAGTATCACAAGCTTCACATAGGATCTTATAGATGCCTTCTTCCTTATCGAGATAGCCAATCCCATACTTAGGGTGTACCAGCTATTTGCGTAAAGTGGCCGTCGGTTTGTGCGTCACTTTTATTTGGTATTTCCGCAAGTTACTTTCAACGGTTTGAGACACATTCCTTATACAGGGAACAATTCGCCATGTATTTGTTTCAAGCGCGTGAGTGGAAATATCTGGTTCCTTTTTGTTGCATTGTTGTTGTTTCATGCATCGGTGTACAAAGTCTGTGGGTTAACCATTACGGGAAAACAAATCTCGGACAGGTAATTGAGCTCGACAAGGTAGGTTTCTTCGTCAGAGCAGTGTGTCTTCGCTCGGCGTAGCAGACTGTTGACGGTACTCCTTTTTGTGAGCGAGCGAGAGAGAGTTACCTTATTTGCAACAAAACGTCTGGCCTCGAGATGCCTGCCTTTCAATTTATACGACGTGGGCCTACTTTTGACAGTATATGCTCTGGCAGCATGTTTTCCGGCTCCTGTTTCAGCTAGGCTCTATGGCCATGAGACGCGTGAGACCCTGCCCTTTTGCGCGAAAACTACTGGTGCGTGGCACGCGTTGACGGTCTGCTTAGCTCTACCAGCCACATGCGCCCACCGTGTGCAAACCAGTTGGTAGACCAATTCGAACAGTGGACTGGTGCCTTTGAGAGAAAGAGTGACTTAGACACCGGGAACTGTAGCCTCACGATATCAAGCGCACATCCCTCGCTATAAACAATCCGAGTTCCGCGAATCTATCATGCCACACTAATAGCTGCGGCCTGAAGCACTGCTAACGGACGGCACCTTCCAACGGACATTAGGAAATTAAAGTCTGGGAGCAAACCTAGCTCTACTAAATGCTCGAGTCCAAAAGGACAGGTACTCCCGCGAAAACGAGGCCCTGCTGCTTAGTGGATACGATGATGACATGGATATTAGCTACGAGCTAAGCAGCCTCCTGGATTCTATCGATAAGCAGCTGCTGGCCAGGAGTAGCAGTTCTAACATGTGGTGATTGATTGTCATTAGTGTACTGACTCTCCAGGAAGTTGCCTCAGCGCCTGATGGTATGGGTGTGAGGGGCTGATGATCAGAAACGACCCATGTCACGATCGCCGTTTGGGGCCGGATTTTTATCTAAAAAAAACAAATTGAACCCAATCAGGCAGTCGCAATTGTATTGCTTGCTGGAATTCGAGGGTTCCCTGCATTTGTAACCCACGCGCACATTTCTTCCATAAAAATTGAAGTTGTCTGCATCTCTGAGATGCCATTGTTCGGATAATGGACTATGAGTGAGGCTCTCACTTCTCCCCATGGTGCCCACCGACGGCTGTGGCATATAGATCATTACACTCGCTCTGGGTGGTTGAGCAAAAGCTTCACGAATGAGGTGGATACCGGAATCGTGCTTCGTCGGATTTCAGCTAGACAATTGTTACACAGTACTTCTCAACACCGAACGCTTATGAAATGAAGATTTAGGGGACCACAGTTAAGCATTTCCCGATAGATGACCTTTTCCTTTCGAGATACTAAATTGTGGGGACGAAAAGATGTGGTAATCATGTGAAGGAGTTTTAATTTAATTTAGCCAAGCCTCGTTCTCGTCCAAGATGTCAAGTTTTTGCATGCCGAAAATAATTGGTCAGCTAGTACTGAAGCTATAGCAACACTTAAAATGACGTTAACTTCCCACTTATGGTGTGTTGAAGCCGAATTAGACTCCACAAAGTGGTGTTTAGTTCGGTCTCTTCCCATGAAGCTTGACCATAGTATGCTCTTGCGAGGATTTGACTATGATTTAGACTAAACCTTGCCGAAAAGGTCCTCAACTCAGCTGTCGACAGCTTCAAGGTGGACAACCATAGTCACGTGTAGTCTTTGAGAAGTTAAGCTCCACCGTAGATGTGACTCTGCCGTATGTGACTTGCATTATTAGCATGTAACTCTCCCATGCTTTGACGGTAGAAAGTCAGCAACCGACGGTAATAGAAGAGCATTATTCGCAGGCCGGTTGCTCTGCAACAGTTGGTCAGAAGAACGCCTTTTCAAGGGTCATTTGCCAAATGTGAAATTCCCCTGCCTCACATCTTTCCGATTGTTAGGTCTTTGTGTTTTTTGGTCTCTGCTAAACTTTTTTTCCAGATTCTGTTGCCCTTATTCTTAGAAGAGTCGTAAATGTATCGGAAACATGTTCAGGTGTGCTGGTGTAAGTCAGCGAAATAATTATTTACTTCGCCATCACTACTCATTCTTTGTAAGTACAAACTATTTTGTCCTCTTTACAGGCTTTCCGCTGTAATGCAAGCATGGCTTCAAGCGAGGTTTCTACATCGACTGAAAAGCCACTGCTCAAGGCCTGCCCCCATAACGGCTCCCAGAAGAGGACTCAACCATCTAGTTCACCAGAGTGCTCGCCAGAACTTTTATCCTCCCTGGCTTCCCGTCGTTGCGAGGCGCCGGCACCCGTGCGCATGAAGTTGGGCAACGAGGACGAATTTTATGCTGACACCGCATACTCAAATGACTCCGAACAACTCTTTGGTGGTTCTCAGGAGCAGCTAGAGGACGGTTTTTGCGTTGCTGATGCGGCTGAAGGATCAGTCTTGACTGCTGAGACTCTCCACGCGAATATTGTGCGTACTTAGGGGTATTTGTTTGTCGTATGTGACTTATTAGTACCCTGCCAAGTAGTCAGCCCTCCTTATTTTCTATAAAGTGCATCTCGGTACACAGTTATCCGATTTCAATTATGGAGATTTTCAAATACTCTAGTATCGAGATTGAATAGCAACCCGTGTGTGTAAGACGTACATATAAAGAATATGCTGGTCAAATTGCTTAATTTGAAGGTGTTATATGCTTTCGAGTGAGAACTTCAAGGAATGCTTCACTTTTCATTGAACAGCTAAATGGACTGGACTATTTGCAGACGCTTCTAGGAAATTCAATGATCCTTGCAGTTGTAACAATCATCAATTCCTACGCAAGCAGTCATTTCCTTCGCATAGTATTTAATTCCATGCCTTAACGAACACACACCTAACACCATAGGTCGGTCCTCCTTAGGGCTAGGCCGTAAAAGCTCCTTCTTTTTGTGACCTTTATGCCATTCAATCTATAAGATGTCTGAAGTCTCTTAATGTAGCCCGGTACGCCTAGAATTCAGCTCAGATAGTGTGTGGCTGGCTTGGACGCTCTCTTTATCTTTGTCAGCTGCTACAGCCGTACCCAGCCCCCGTCGTCTTAATTTTGCCAGGGAAGGTGCAGATGTAGTACAAGTCTGCCTGAAGGAAGTTTGAACAATTAATACTTTCACCTGTAGATAAATTACTGCAAACGTCTCATTGTCTACGTGGTTCCTAGTTCTCAAATAAGCCTGTCTGCAGAACACGGATGATCGGAAATTCTGTAAGTGTTTAGGGCTATTAAGGAAGGCCTTTACTTTCGGCTTCATAAATGAGCAGCTGAAGGCTTCGTTGGCATTTTTCCAGATAACAAGCGTTTATCCAAAAATAATACAAGTTTTCCGCGCAAAGTCCTATAAGGTTCTTTGTAACAGTCGTCATATCCTCTGGGGAGCAGATAGCATAGGACCATGTTACTTATATTATAACGTTGAACAAAATAGATGTTTTCCGAGTCCCCATAGTGAATTGGCACAAAATGAAGAACTAGTCGGGAGAGGGCGCTGGCAACACAGGTGACTCATTGTTAATCTCATGACCTGGAAACATCTTGAGGTGTGATGTTGTGCGCTCGCATCATGGGTTGGTGCTCCCCAGTGTGCCAATTGACGTTCTTGTTTTCAAATTTGAAAAAGTCAGAATTCCGGGATAAGAATAAGAGTTAATTTTCTGCTCACCGGAATAAATTTGTGGATTTGCTGACGCTTCTGACATCTGGGCCTGCTGTCCTTTGTCGACGCAAATACTGATTTTATCGATCAGCAAGCTAAAAGTTGCGACTCTAAGTATTGGCCTTGGGCTCATCGATTTTTCTCCGGTCGCTGTTTAGCCATGCGTATTGATTTAGGCTTGGCGTGATAGCAGTTGGTGTTCTGTTTCTTCCTTACGGTAGAGGATGCTTGTAATCCTGCTCCCTCTTCCGGTGGTTTCGTCACAGTGCCGTCTTCGTCTGCAAGTCTTGACTTTGGTTTCACCGTGTCCTTTACTTACGTAATGGCGTAGGACTTC